TTCCGATAAGAATGACATCTCGCCCTGCTCATCATTCCCTCTTCATATAGCCGTATATATGGCTATTACACGATCATGATACACTGTGATATAGCCTGGGTCGTTAGTTCGTTGCATTGTTTTGTTTTCTCGCTACAATCGATACGCTCAATAGGACAGAGACCGCGTCTCATTCAGGCGATCTTGGACTGATTGATTTGGCGCGGAAGCGAGCGCAACTGCTGGATATAAGTTATGCCAAAAAAACGCGCTAACGGGTGAAACGAGACAGATTCCGAAACAAACGTCTATGTGTTAAAGCACCGTAAGATTGTATTTGCACACAATTGACAGACAGTCGCAGCACGCAGCTCTGGCTCGATCTGTCAGGCAAAAAGGCAGCAGCTGGCCCGATCGAGCCAGTAACATTTTGTACACTGGCCCGAGTGTCTCGCACGCTGGCCCCCGGCCATCGGGCAGTCCTTATTGTCGAGCCCTGGCTCATAATATCGAGTGGAAAAAAGAAAAAGACTGCTGGGAAACATAACCTGCTTTGTTTTTAAAAAAAAATTTTTTTATAAGAAACACAGTTTAGATCTGTTTAGGATAAGAGGAGTGTGAGTTATTGCCACCTATCACTGAATGTGAATATCGAAAACAAAACCAACTTAGCTTAACTCCTTTACCGCCCCACACAGCTTGATCCACGCTGGCATTTCTCCTCTTGGGCTTTGGTTTTGAAAAGGGAAAAAATCCCACCACCCAGTCCAAACTTTTAGGATAGCGGGTGTCAGATTTTCACAATCCAATTGCGCAACGATTTGGCTTGTTTCCCTCGCTCGAAAGCTTGACAGAGCCTCTGCCCGTAGCTACGATTGGTAAGCCGCGATTGGTGGGTGGCGGTATTTGGGCGTGGGCTTAGCGAAGGGTCAGTTTAAAAGGAGGATCCCGTGAGAGCAAAAGCACTAAAGGTATGAGACGCCATCGTAAACAAAAGTCAAGCGAACGCAAAGAGACTGAATGCACGAGAGAGAGAGAGAGAGAGAGAGAGAGAGAGAGGTGTATGTTGTATGAGAGAGAGAGAGAGAGAGAGAGCGAGTATTGGCTCGATCTCAAGTTCAAATTCAAATTCTCTCTCCGTTCGCTTGACTTTTGTCCACTCCGGCGCCTCATAGTAGTCACGTTGGATACTGTCGAATCAAAACAATCTACCATGCTTCGATTGGACGTCATGCCGAAAGCGCGCATGCTCACACACACGCGCGCATGCTGTCACGCACACATAAACGGAGAGAGAGAGAGCGGTCCATGTCAACATACTTTTTTATCGTTGGGCTTTTCATGGGAAGCAGCAAGTCTTTACAAGTCAATAGGGGCAAGTCCTAGTCAAAGTCCGAGTCATTTATGTTCAAGTCCAAGTCGAGTTGCAAGTCTTTTTATATTTTGTCAAGTCGAGTCTAAAGTCATCAAATTCATGACTCGAGTCTGACTCGAGTCCAAGTCACATGACTCGAGTCCACACCTCTGGTGTGAACATATACTGCTCTCACGGTTCGGTTTGGTTACGATTATCATGCCTTCGATTCGGTTCAATTCGATATTTCGGTGCATCACGGTGCATTGACGATGCTTTCCATATACAGCGTTATATTTTAGAGGAGAGGCTATAACAAGCTGTCTGTATAAACACACAGAGACACAGCACCACACTGTCTCTCATTCAAACACAAACATAGACAGCACCAAATAAACAAACACACGCACACACACACACGCACACACACTTAAGCCCTCGCAACAGGGAGAGCTCGCGAAGAGCGGAGCAGAAAAACGTAAAAAATAAGCACTTTTCCAACGGTCCCTTGCTGAGAGCTCCTCTCAGCGCGAGCTCTCCCGGCTAAACACATATTGCGAGGGCTTAAACGGAGCAGTGCTCATAGTGTGGAGCAAAAAGAAAGAAAGGCAGCTGTGAAACATAACCAGCTTTGTCTTTTTGTAGGAAACACACTTTAGATCTTAGGGTAAGAGGTTTTTGAGTTATTGCTGTCTGTAACTGAATGTGTGTCAAGAATATCGAAAACAAAACCAACTGAACCGCGCTTCTTTCTGGCGCCCTCCTGGATATACAGCGCCCTTAGCATTTGCCTATGGTGCCTATGCCACGGACCTGCCCTGAGTTGGCTGAGTGTTGTAAATACTCGCGCTCACCTCCCTCGCGACAGAGCGCATAGGAGATAAATGACGTCAGTACATAATAACCGGTTATGATTATTACTGAACCGATACCAAATTGTCCACGTCTGAAACGAGAGGCATTGTGAAAAAAAAATACATTTGCACAGTTACATTTGAAAAAAAAAGTGTCGATTCCAAGATTTTCCTATCATTTTGCAAACTGGCACAGTCTATGGGAAAATACAAAGTTCTATACTATTCCAAATAGTCCAAGCAGCTCTAAAACATCCTTGCAAGAAGACTCTCCTACATAAAAAAGCTTATCGGTAAAGATGTAGGAGCAAAAATACCAGTGAAGACATGCAAAATTGCAATTATAGGAAGCATTTTATTGCTGTAATGGCCACTAAATGTTTTCTATTGATTATTGAAAAGGGAATGAATAATTTTGGACACTCAATTTTGTTGATCAAAGCTAAATAAAAGCTGAGAAATGTATATTGTTTCACAACGATGCCTCTTTTATATTGTCTTATTATCTTTTAGGAGAAGTCTGTGTCATTTCTGGTAAAAAAAAATACAAAATACAAAATATCCACGGTCAATCAGCAAGTTTCATGCAGGACAGAAATCTGCAAGATAAGCTACTGTTGTGATTGCATCCAAAATAAGAATTTAACAGCAAAGAAAGCACTGTTAAAATTGTATCTGCATTATAAAATGATCTCATCTTCAGTTTGTTGTCTGCCCACATTACAGAAACAAGCAAAACGGGTTCGCACATCTAACCGTACACCACTTGATCTTTCACATCACGTTTACCAACAAATAAATTTACACTCGATTTAATCTCTTAATCTTGTGTTCCTCTCAATGTATGTACAATCGCAGTCTTAAATCAGAAAGCTCCTAGACAGCAATCATAAAATGGCGGAATCATTAAAGAAGGTGACAGGGCAACATGCACCATTAATGAATGTTGTTTAATTAGAGAGCAGCTCATCTCGTATTCTCCTGTCGCCCGCATTGTGCTCCAGCTAGTCATGTTACTGCAAATTCAGCACTTTCCTTGAGCCACAAACACTCACACACACACATTCAGACACAGAGAATTACCCTTTGTAATTACAAGTACATATTATGATATTAGTGTGAATGATTTATTATCAGCGTAAACAGAATTGCTGTGTTAATATTCGGCGCATCACATTTGATGAGGATAATGAATCTCCTGCATAATTCATCAAATCAGCTGCTCTTCCATTAGTGAGAGATGTCTTTATACTCCAGCCAACTGACTTCGACTCAATATTCTTATTTTTTTAATACCCAGTGGCCAGGGGAAAGATTAAGAAGAAGGTTGGTCCTAGATCACTCAAAGGGGAAAGGCTCTCAGCTATCGGACAGAAAGGGTTTTTTTTCTGCTGACTGAGCCGACTGAAGTAAGCCCTTATACTGCAAACTGGAAAATTAACATGTTCCACTGGGCTTCAGCCTAGTTTCACATTAGATGTGCATTATATCAGACACAGTATTTAGTGAAAGGCTGAAAAAGGGCATGTGGAACAGTTTTTCATGGTTGGCTATAATTACTGATTGCTGTGATGTGAGATTTAATGTTATTTTTTCAATTATCCAGTAGCATTAACGTTTTTCCAAGTCATTTTTCAAAGTTTTAGGTTTAATGGCTATGCTTTATGGTGTTTTCATGAAAATAATGTTCAACAAGGAATCAATAACTTGATCAGATGATATTAAAGGAATTTATTATATTATGAAATGTCTTTTGAACTGTCTATTCATCAAAGATTAAAAAAACGTTTAGGTTTCTAATAAAATGTATAATAATAATAATAATGTAAAATTAAAAATCTATATATTTATAATATATTATAAATATTTAAACAATTATTAATTTATTTAATTTACTCACCCTCAAGCCATACATTTGAGATTCATATAATGTAACAGCTACCAGCACTTTTTTTTTATCCTTGGCTTGTGTGTGTGTGTGTGTGTGTGTGTGTGTGTGTGTGTGTGTGTGTGTGTGTGTGTGTGTGTCTGTGTGTCTGTGTGTCTGTGTGTCTGTGTGTCTGTGTGTCTGTGTGTCTGTGTCTGTCTGTGTCTGTCTGTCTGTCTGTGTGTCTGTCTGTGTGTCTGTCTGTCTGTGTTTTGCCTTTAAATTAAATACTTGTGGGTGTTTTGCATATATACTTTTTTGACTCTCAAAGCCATTGCGGTTGTTATTAATCGCTTTATTTTTGTTGTTAATCACGATTTCATTATTCACCAAGGATCAATGATTTAATCTAAAAATCTATTTTAATGCTCTACTGAAGCCAAAAAAATCATAAATAATTAAATCAACTACATCTTGGGTAGCCTGAAAGCGAGTAAATTAAAAGCAAATGTTCATATTTAAGTGAACAACTGTTTTCAGCATAGTTAATACTAAGCAATGTTTCTTGAGCTCCTATTCACCAAATAATAATGATTTCTGAAAGATCATGTGAAATTGCAAACTGAAAAAATTTTTTGCATTTTGCCTTTGCATTGAACTTTGATCATATTACATTCAGAGATGTTGCTTTATGTTCACACAGCTACATTTCACATGAATTAAAGATTAAAATTTGACATTTTAGTGGACCACCTTTTAAACGTTTTGAAATTTAAATTTAAAATAAAACGGTTATATTAAATTATAGTATTTTCACATCATTTTTTATTAAATAATACAGACTTGATGAGCATAAAGTTTTTTTTTTAATTGACAGAATCCAAACTTTGTACTGTATATCCCTATCAGAATCTTTATTAATTAATTTGTGTTGTGCTTTTCTCAGCGCTCATCCAGAAGCGACTGAAGAAGGAGAAGAAGACCAAGAGAAAACTGCAGGAGGCTCTGGAGGTGGAGTCTAAGAGAAGAGACCATGCTGAGCAGACGCTTCAGAGGACAACTTCCTGTGAGAGATCACCCATTCACAACGGTAAGAACGCTCACACACACACAAAAGAAACAAAATATATTACCAGTTTTTTAGCACGTTTCAGATGACAAAACGACCAGAGGGCGCTGTCTACAGTACCTCTTCCTGAATCTGAAATATGATACTTATGGCTCTTTTCCACTGACTGGTACAGTACGGTACAGCTCGGGTCGGTACGGGTCACCTTTATCAGGCTTGCGTTTAAACTAACAAGGGTACCCTTTTGTTGGGCGTGGTGTACAAGAGAGAGTTTCAGTCGACGTCATTCTTGCTCAAATTAATGTCAACAGTAAAGCTGTACAGGTCGTTCACAAATCATATGAGAAGCACTTCTCACAAAACACATGCTTTATACACATAAATACTTGTTTATAAATGTTTATTGCTAACTTTTCTATGAACAGGATTTGATCAATGACAGTGCAAAATACTCTACTGTAACGTCTGCAATTATATAAAATAAATAAATAAATGCAACAAATACGAACACATACTGCCCCTTACGGTCTCAGATATATTACCAATTACAGAAAAACTACACACCACAGATATTTAGTCCTTATTTGAGTTCAAAACACAAGTAATATAGCCCACAGCCAGCGCAAACCTCTCATATGTGTCTGTAATCTTCACCAGCACATGTAAACTCTGTTAGAGAGTAATTCTATTATTTCCAGTTCATAATAGTCCAAAAGGTGAAGATAATCACGGCAGTTTGTTTGTGATTCAGTTTGCTGAAACAATTTTGATCCTGTGTTTTGTCGGGCTTATTCTTTTTTTCGCACTTCACTCTCGCGTTTGTCGTTTTCTTTCCGAATGGATCAGATGACGGAGACACCGATAACCATGCACACGTTATTATCATCAGCTCTTGAAGTTCGTTATATTAAATATAACTTAGACGCAATCGCGAGCTCCCGAAAGAAAACTAAAAGCGCTCACTTTTAGACGGGCTCGTAAAGCAACAACAGGACATGGATGATTTTTCTTTTTGGCTTTGTGGCTGTTCATCAAGACGACAACAAGGTTTGTTTGAGCTCAGGTCGTCTATGGCTCGTTACTATATGCATATAGAATTTCCATGTAATGTCTCAGCTGTGTATTAGAACATGGTGGTTCCTTTGTTTTCATTCTGTCTAGCTCTACGAGCTTGTGGCGTATCTCTGTAACCCATCAGTGTTCAGCTGCATGTGTTGCTCCACCTTTTGGGACCCTTTTTCGTTTTTGGTACTCTTTCGAAAGGGTGCCGAAAAAGTGGTATGGTACGGTTCGGTTCGGTAGGCTTTTTGTGGAAAGACCATAAAAGCGTACCAAACTGAACCGTACCATAACAGTGGAAACGGGCCATTAGAGTGCGTTTTGTTATATGTTTCCGAGACAATGAGAAAGTGAGTCTTGTTGTAGAGATCACCTAGTGAACCACTGACCCAAACCCTCCCTAAACCCATCTAATAGAGCACATGTTTTCAAAAGCTAAGAATAGAGAAAAGTATATTTAGTTTGCACATAGTTTTACCTTGATTTTAAATTGCTTTTTTTTTTTTAAGTCCAAATAGAGATAGACAGGTGAGGCAAACATGTTTGATTACAGGTCATAGACACCATTAAGCTGTTTTATGGTATTGATTTGGTTCTGTGCAAAGAACTGCATGAAAGGAATCCTTTATTTGTGGATAATATGCCCCTGTAAATATGATTAGTGTGAAATGAAACAAAATTTGTTGGCATTATCCTGCTCTGTAGCATTCATTTTTACTAGAAACATCTGTTAAACATATGTTGAAGTATTTTTGTAGCCTGCAGCCTGAAGTATGTATTTCCAATGAGCCTGTGTTGTCACCTGTTTTGATGACACACTCACTCACTCACTCACTTACTCACTCACTCACTCACTGACTCACTCACTCACTTTCTCTCTCTCTCTCTCTCTCTCTCTCTCTCTCTCTCTCTCTCTCTCTCTCTCTTACTCACTCACTTTCTTTCGGCCCTGGGGTTGCCACAGCAGAATGAACCATCAATTACACTGGCACATGTTTTACTTGCAACTGCCCTTTCAGCCACAATCCAACACTATCAAACTATTCTTAAAATAACTAGTTTGAGCTGACCATCCAAATTAAAAGTCTCTGTTAAAAAAATAATTAATTAGTTAAAATTAGTCAAAAATGGACATTCTGCTTTAATTCACTCATTCTCCATCTGTTCCAAAGCTGTTTGGGTTTCTTTCTTTTGCTGGAAAAAGCAATTCTCTTCCATAATTTGTTATATGCATTATATGGATGTCAAAGGCTGCCTTTTCCATTCTTCTGAACTTTCTTTAGAATATCTTGTTTTTTGTTTAACAAAAAAAAGAAACTGATAAAAATGAAAAATCACTTAAGTGATTAAGAAATGAGCCAGAAATGAGCGCGGTTAAGTTGGTTTTGTTTTCGATATTCCTGACACATTTAGTTATATCGGCAATAATTCAAAAACCTCTTACCCTAAAAAGATCTAAAGTGTGTTTCCTACAAAAAGACAAAGCTGGTTATGTTTCACAGCTGTCTTTTTCTTTTTTTTCCGCTTGACATTACGACCACTGCTCTATTTAAGCCCTTGATATATGCTTAAATAGGCTTAAATTACCTAAATGGCTTAAGTGTGTGTTTGTGTGTTTTTGTTTGTTTGTTTGGTTGTTTTTGTTTGTTTGGTGCTGTCTATGTTTGTGTATGTGTGTGAATGAGAGACAGTGTGGTGCTGTGTGTCTGTGTGTTTATACAGACAGCTTGTTATAGCTTCCCCCCAAAAAAAACACTGTGGTCAAGGCACCATGATGCACCGAGATATCGAATTGAACCGAATCAATGGCATGATAATCGTAACCGAACCGTGAGACCAGTATAGGTTCACACCTCTACTAGTTATGCCCAGTGACAGAAGCTATGTTTCCATCCACCTTTTTTATGCACATTTTGGATATGTGCATAAAAAAACGATTGATGGAAACGCCATGATAAGCTTTGAAAAATAAAAAAAACTTATGCGCAATACTGAGGAGGATAAACTTTTTATTCGATAAGAAAAGATGTGCATAAACTACAATGGAAACACTTTTACCGCACAAACTCCAGCATGCGCATTAAAAAGGTCATATGATTTTGTTATAAGAGATCATGTGATGATAAAAAATGTGTGTGAATGGATAAACCAGCAGGCTGAGCACATTATAAAACATCTGAAATGTTGTTTTGATCATTCTAAAACACCTTACCATTTCAGTATTAATGTTATTATATTAAAAAATAACCTCCAAAATCAAGAGCGTCTGTGCTCTGCATATGACACCTTCAAACGCCACCGTGCGTTCACTGCCTGTCAGGATTGCCTTCTGAGGCGCAGTCATTTTTTAGATGAAGAAAAGATTGATGCAGCTTCTCCTACTGCAGCAAATTCAGTTTTTACTGTTGATATTTGGCACCAGTTAATCAGGAAGTGACTATTTTGTTCGCTCTGACTCGTTGGATGGAAATGCAGCTTTATTCGCACATCTTTTTTGCGATAATCCAGTTTTGCTCATAAAGTTTATTCGCATTTTGGATGAAACATAGCTAGTGATTTATTTTTCTACAGCCACTAATCTGTGGTGGTTGGTCTGATGACCACTTCTGGTGTAATTGGTTAACTGTGTGCAGCACATGCCGGATATGAAACGCCCATAAGTGCTTATCAAGGCTGTTTTAAAGCAACAAGCAAAAAAGCAACAGTATATGTGTGAGCCCAAAGCAAGAACATGTTTATAAATCAATGTAGAAACACCAGCATATTGCTCTGTTCTACTCGTAATCCTAAGTCCAAATAATAGTAACGACATACAGTTAGTATTAATCAACTCAACTGCAAAATTTGAACTACTTTGAACCTTGAACGCAGCACTCAAACCATTGAAATAAAAAAGAATGGGTTCATAGTGCAGTGCTTCCCTCAACTGGTATAAAAGCACAGCTTATGGTGGCCTAGCAATGACAGACGCAATGGCAGTGCAAGCTCAAAAGTGTGTTGAAGTTGATAAAAGAAGTGGCCTGTGATTTTAGACCAAATATGTGATTACACCATAGCCAAACAGAGAGGTTTTCTGGGTCTGTGCATGTAACATGTGGTGTGTTTTTTTTTCTTTATTCCCCCCCCCCCAACATCATGGTGAAATAAAGTTTTTAATGAACAGTGATTCATATAAATGACTCTGACTTAAAGTTTGTGTTTTGAGAGAGAGACAGAGAAAGAGAGAAAGAGAGAGAGAGAGAGAGAGAGAGAGAGAGAGAGAGAGAGAGAGAGAGAGAGAGAGAGAGAGAGAGAGAGAGAGAGAGAGAGAGAGAGAGAGAGAGAGAGAAGCTTTATACACAGTGCACTGTCAGATTTTAACCTCAGCTGGGTGTTTTCATTCACTTAGATATGTTACACACTGCATAGAAGGTCATTAAAAAAATGAATAGGGGCTCTGTAATTTTCACATTTTAGGCATAAGTTGCAGATTTCAGAAAAGACTTTTAGCAGATAAATGTGTAAATGAATGTGTAAATGACAAAACAGCCTAAACACAGACATTTAAGTTAATACAACTTGCATTACAATCATCTCAGGTCTCCTCATCTGCTCCATCTCTAGCTATACTTTGAATTAATCTTTAGAAGAATTGCTATTTTGACATCTTTATAGATATTAGGATTGTGTTGCATTTGTTGTTTAAAGTGTAATTACCAGATACTTGTGACAAATAATTCATAACCTCATTTATAACTCTTTTCATTTTAACAGACTCTCAACAGGAATTGGAGACAATCCATAATACCAGCAAAACAGACACTGAGAGAACAATACAAGGTATGTTTGATTATGTGTCTAGATGTCATTGTTTTTCACCTGTAGTCTTCATAAACAAATAACCATTACAGAATCTAGAAATGTTTTTTTTTTTCTCCCAAACACATAAGCTTAAATGAATAACACCCTTTGAAAACCATATCTATAGTTTTTTATATTTACATTTTTCACACATCACAGTGAGAATGAACATGCAACTATATGTATTGTCCTTATTTACAGGATTGGAAATAAAAAGGCCAGATTTTCTTTCATAATTTCATTTTCATTACATTATTAGATTTCATTCAAGTCATTGTATTGTTTTGATTTAAAGAACTGTTGCACTTCATCAGTACATAGAGAATGTAAGAAAATAGTTAAAAGCATGGCTTACCAAAAAATAAAAAATAAATGAAAATTACCTCACTATTTGTTCTCCCTTTTGTGGTTTTAAACCTTTATGAATTTCTTTCTTTTGTTGAACACAAAATAAGATATTTTGAAAAAAGTTGGTTACTAGAATCCATTGCCTTCTATAGTAGAAAAAAACAAATACTATAAAAGAAAATGTGAACAGCTTTCTTCAAAGTATATTGTTTTGTGTTCAACAGAAGAAAGAAATTGAATTAGGTAAATAAGAGAAGAGTGAGCTAATCATGACAGAATTATTATTATTATTTTTTGTGTATTATCTCAATAAACTGCTCCTATTTGCTCTTACATGATGCAAAGTACATCTTTTGTGTCTGCAGAATGTGTCTGTAAAGTTTTTGGTCAAAATAACCACCAGATCATTTATTATACCATGTTGAAAATGTCTCTTTTTTTTTTTTTTTTTTGGTCAGATGGAATTTTAGCTGTTTAGCGCCTGTGACTAAATGCAAATGATTAGATGTTATTTTTTATGAATTTCTAAAGCAGAAGATAAAAAGAACAAACATAATACTGATTTATTTTCACAGGATTAACATTGATCCCATAAACACATAAAAACATTTAATAAAGTGCCTGCTTTAATGTTTTAAAATCTCTTTGTAAAAAATAACTTTTCAAAATATTGTATAAATAATGTTCTATTGTCATTCAGCATAAAACATTTGTGTAAAAAATGTACCTGCACCTGCAACCTGCACTGGGTAAAATATATAAAGGAATAGGGGATCATACTAAATTTGACTTTTTTTAAATAATATATATTATTATTGGTTCTTTCTTACAGATGAACTAGTGATTTGGACGTTTGTTTTGGGTTGTTTTGGTTTAAATAGTTTTTTGAGGCTCCAATGTGATCTTTAAAAATATTTTTTTATGTCATCAAATGATTCGTATTCTAAATTTTCTAAATTTACTTTGACTTATTTCATTGCAGACAATACAACAGTGTTCCTTATGATTTTTTATTAAAAAAAAAATTAACAAACATTTTCCAATTTTGGTTCTTGCAGCACATTTCAAAAAAGTTAAAACAGTTAAGCATTTACCACTTTGTACTGTTGGCATTCTTTTTCACAAGACATTTAGAGTTTGAAAACACCAAGTAATGAAGAGTTTTAGGTGTAACATTTTTGTGAAAATTGAGTTATTGACATGTTCTTATTAAATGACAACTTATTTACATAATTGGATGTATTTTTTTTTTTTATTTGAAGACCTTGTTAAAAAACAAATGTTACACACATACTGTTTGCTATATAATGCAAAAACTTTGAAACTCAGTATCTCAAAGTCATTCGGAACGCAGATAGAATCTTATAATTCTAAGGTGATGATTTTACAATTCAAAACGTGCCACAGATTCATTATTGGAGACAGGTCGAGACTGCAGACAGGCCAGTCAAGTATCTGTTTCCTCTTCCTCCGCAGCCAGGACTTTGTAATGTGTGTAGAATGTGGTTTTGCATTGTCATGTTGAAATATGCATGAGTGTCCCTGGAAAAGAAGGCAGCGTATTGTGCTCTAAAATCTCTATATACCTTTTAGCATTTATGATGCCATTACAAGAAGTGCAAGTTACCTTTGCCGAGGGTACTGAAATAACCCCATACCATGACACAACCTGGCATTTGGACTTGTTCCGGTTAACAGTCTGGATGATCCTTTTCTTTTTTGGTTCAGAGGACACAGTGTCCATTTCTCCCCAAATTACCTGAAATTCTGATGCATCTAACCACAGTACACGTTTCCACTCTGCGATGGTCCATCCCAGATGCCTCAGAGCCCAGATAAGTTGCCTCTGGACACTATTAACGAGGGCTACGTTTCGGCACAGTACAGTTTTAACTGGCATTTGTTGATGTAACTATGTATTGTGGTACTTGACAGGTTTGCAAAAGTAGACCCGAGCCCATGTGGTGATATTGCTTATAGAGGAATGAGGATTCTTGATGCAGTGCTGCCTGAGGGATCGGAGATCACAGTAGTTCAGCTTAGGCTTGCGCCCTTGTCCTTTACACACTAAAATTGCTTCAGATTCCTTGAATCTTTTAATTATATTATGCACTGTTTAAGGTGAAATATCCAAATGTCCTCCTATCTTTCTACATTTCAATAATTTTCTCACGTACTGTATTTGTTGGCAAACCGGCATTCCTCAGCCCATTTTTGTGAGACCTTTCTTGGATGTTTTCTTGGATCCTTATTTAACCAATTTACCGGATTACCAGCCCTAAATTGCTCCTGTCCCAACTTTTTATGGAATGTGCTGCAGGTCTGAATGACAGGAAAGGATGTATATTTACAAATTAAATGAAGTTGACCAGACAAAACATATTTTGTGTTCATATTGACTTCAATGAAATACAATACATTTGGAAATCACTAATTTCTTTTTTATTTGCATTTTCCATAATGTCCCAACTTTTTCTGAGTTGGGGTTAATATAATATAATATAATATAATATAATATAATATAATATAATATAATATAATATAATATAATATAATATAATATAATATAATATAATATAATATAATATAATATAATATAATATAATCCCTTATCAGAGTATGAAAAACTGAGACTGAAATGAAATGCCAGTGAAGCAAATGGTGAAAAAAAGAGAAGAAAGAATAAAGACAAAAAGGGGGAGCAGTAATTAATGGGTCCCTTAATTGTCCTCATGAAATATTTGCATGGGCATAATTTACATAATCTGCATGTTGTAATTAATCTTTCAAAGGGTTTGCTTTCTCTTTTCGTCTTGCTTGAGAGGAAAAGGAGGGAAAGGCTCTCTCTCTCTCTCTCTTTCTCTTTCTTTTTTTGTGTTCTTTGACATTTATTCAAATACTGCATCTTCTCCCCTTTCCAGTCCTTTCATCTCCCTCTCAATCCACATGTTAGAACATTATGGATTTGTCCGTTCATTATTTGCTGCTTGTGACTTCATTCATACCAGTTTTTTTTGTCTGTTCACAGATGGAAGGCTCTTTCTAAAGTCCACAATGATGTACTGAGGATTGAAGATGAGGAGCAAATGCATTCAAACTGTACAGAAGAGCCTGTAGTCAATCGCCTGGTAAATAACGTCTGCAATTCTGCTGGAGGACTGACGGAAGACAAGGAGGCAGTTTTATAGGTTGATGTCAGTGTTTTTGAGGCACAAGGACTTGACAAGATTATTATGGCCATTGAAAGTCAGCTTTTAGTAAGATAAAGCGTGAGCCGAGATGAATGAAGAAAATGCTATCACAATGCACACCTGGTTGAAAAACCATGTTTCCAGGGGACTTTTTGCAACACTGAGAAGTAAAAAAAAAAAAAAAAAAACATTTTATAATGCATTTTAAGTCTGCCTGACTACATTGACCTATTAAATATTCAAATTTGCCATTTTGCATTTCACATTTGACATCATTTTTAAATCATCATTTCCTGAAGAGAGAGCGATTTCAGTTTCTTTGTTTATTTATCAAATATAGACACTGCATTTAAATATGTATTGTGTATCTGTCTGTTATTTCAAAAAGAAGGCTTAGCTGTCCAGATTTTTTTGTTGTTGTCATTATTGTATATGGGATCATAGCAGAAATGTCTCAAAATTCATCAAGTATGTACATAAAAGTGTAGACATGCTAATGTGCATTGTACGCTGTAGATCTAGCAAATCAATACAAACGTTTTTAATAAGATTTCTTGTATCTAAGTTATTTTTATTTTATTTTTTATTCAGTTGGCATATTATTATCCTACCCGACATGGAGAGCATGCTGGCATGTCGTTACTTCTGTCCTGTCCATCTGGAAAACAATAAAGATTTTTTTTCCCACATGCTTTACAAGGGAGATGTTTCAAAAACTGACTGACCGATACTTTTGCAGCTTCAGCAGCAGTGCAGTCAAATCTAAAGCTTTAATATTTATTGTTCTTGTGTTTTATTCTGCTTTTTAAATTTCTTTTATTTGGTATTTTCTTTTACTTTTATCTTACTTCTAAGACTTTAATTATATAGTTTATAAGAGTATTTTTTATATTATTTATGATATAATTTATGATATAGTAATGATACCACAGATATCATTATTTAATCAACTATTTCTCTTTCTTTTATGCTATTCAGGAGCATTTTGTACAGTATTGCCAAAGCATTTTAGATGGATAAAATATGCAAAATATTAAGGTCATCAAATTAATAAAATGTACAGCAAATGATTAATAAAATACAAAAAAGAGGAATTAAAAACAGATATTTAAAAAAATTATAATAATTACAGGAATAAAACTTTTTGATTATTTCAATAAGGCAAATGAGATCATTTAGGCTGTACAGATATTTTGCAGCTAATTTAGATCTAGTTTCATCTTCCCGGAGTGTTTAATAAAGTTTTTTTGAGACATATATATTAATGTTAATTTTTCACTTTGAAAAGTGAAACCAAAAACAAATCCCGTACATTTTAGGAGACTAAAAAAACCTGGCCGGACGCATTGTTAAGTCTCAAAAAGGCGCGTCTCTTTGGAGACTCTGTGCTGAAATGTCTCTCGGACACAGTAGCTAAGAAACAGATAAACTAGACAAGACTTTCCACTACTTAATCAATCACAGATGTTTGGTTATATTGGGCAGATATAAAAAAAAAAAAGTCTTAAAGGATGATAATAGTTTAAATAGTGTGTCACTAAATATACTTGGGCAGCAGTTAACGGTCCGCTCAAATAAAGTGTTTGTGTGGAAAGCACAGATATATAATAAAAAACACAAATAATTCCACATCATAATAACAATATTGTTCTTGTTTTCCCTAATATATGTATCTTTGGTCCAGTGTACTGAATTTTATTGTAAACATGTTGCAGATTAAGTATTGTCTGCACAGAACTGTACACTAACTCTGAGTGCACAAACTTGATACACTATCTAGGCGATGAAAAATGCCTCTCCCTTTCAAGGTTGATTGAAACTTTAACCTCATATTCAATATGCCAGAGAGACCTGGAATGTGCCAGAGACTGGGCTTTTTCCACAATAGGGGCCTGAATAATGCAACAATCAGTCAATTATTCATCTCTCCTGGCTTCTTATTATGTTCAGAGAGAAAGAAAGAAAGAGAGAGAGCATATACTGCTAAACAGTACAGCCTGAGTGATTGGCTAAATGCTGCGTCAACACATTTTGGACATGTGCTCTTGAGAAAAGAGAAAGTGTCTATCTGTATGACACTCCCTCTTGGAAGTTCAAAAATAAAATAAATATGTAGAACAAAAGTGTCTTTAATTTTTTTGAAGTAAAATAAAATAAATAAATGTAAAAATATGTGAAACAGTAAACCAAAAGATTTATGTGTTGAAAATCAAATAAAAAGATAAAACAATAAAAAGCTTGTTTATTTACGTTTACCGTTACATATATAGAATTGCCAGTTCGATTAAAGCTCAGATCTGGTAGGGTGCAGTAGGACTGGTGAGCTACATGTGGGGGCTCGTCTGGGATGGGAGGTGAGGTTTAGGGGGTGTGTGTAACAGCTAGTGAAGTGCTACACTGGTAATCCTCATTCCTCTGACCTTAAAATGTGCTCTAGCGACAGACGCTATAGGGGTCATGGTCTTTAGCCTCCTTGTTGGAGCAACCAACTTCCATACAAAGAATCACTGGTTCGATCCCAGCTCAGACTGTGTGGGCACTATAGGACCGTTTGGTTACATATACTTTATGAATATAATCAAATAAAAAGTTAATTACTATAAAGTAAAATGGTAAAACACTTTACAAGTTCCATTGGTTAACATTATTTAATGTGTTGAGTAACATCAGCAATGACTAATTAGTGTTTATGTGTATTTTTCCACATTTGTTCAGCATTAGTTCATTTATGTAACCTCATTTATGTTTATTAATGCATTTATCATCAAGTGCAATTTAGGTTAATAGGTTAACTTGGCAAGTTTAGATAATTAGGCAAGTTTTTTGATTGATCTGTAGTCAGTCAATACCTTACTTTTTATGCTTTTTGCAGACACCAATTCTTTTAGTAGGCTACTTTAGTTCAGTGTGCGGTTAATAAAATATTTTTAATTCCACAAATAAATTATTAGGGTAGGCTAAATATATTTTAAATGTTTTAATAGGTATTTAAAAAAATAGAATGGCCCATGGTTAGTCAAAACAACCTAGTATTTTTTATCATTATTAGCATAGTCAACATTGTGCTTCCCTTCTTTGTGATCACTTTTGTCTATTTTCTATCAATCTCACGTTTCTCAACGAGCCTTTATGAACCGAAATGATTCTAACAAGAGCCTGTTGAGTGACTCGTCACAGTCTGTAATACATCCAGACACAACGAACAGAGTATGGCAAATGTAATCTAATCAGCGAGCGCCTATTAGACATTAACCCAGACAGTAGAAGAGGAGCAGGACAAGTTCTCCACAAATGAGTGTTTAGAGCAGGTCGTGGACGCGGAATGAAAGGGCAAGAGAGAAACGTTCAGCTTTTCAAACCTTTCAGTGTCATTACTAATTCATGTCGCTTCTTCTCGCTCCTAATGAGAGAGAGAGAGAGTCGGGAAAAGAGAGAATGGCGCAGGAATAATGTGCCGTGAAATTGACTCATTCGCGAGAGGAGGAAAGGCAGAGGAGATCAACTTTTGATTTTAAACTGCCCTCCGAGGAAATGATGGCGAATTTAGCCATCTTGACAAAAAGCGGACTGTTTGTTTAGCTGCTTTATCGTGACTGGAGAAACGGGGGCTTAGTTAACAAACATGCAGCAGCCCCAACGCATTTGGATATTTTTTGAATATTTAAGAATGCTTGCATGACTCTATCAAAATATCAAACCAGATTTATAAAAAATATAAACAGAAAACGCCTCAGAAAAGTAGCTACAGTAGGGTAAATAATAAAAAGGGTTTTGTTAAACATTAAAACATTAAATATAAAGTGTAATGTGCCCTAAATTGAAATATTTTAAATTAATATATTTTTTTTCTAAGGAAAAAATACATATAACTAAATAAAATACATACACAAGACACACTAAAAACATGACAAAAAATGTTTACTGTATTTAAAAAAAAATGAATAAGTTAAAATCCATTTTCAATTTCATTTTTAATTTATCTCTGTTTTATTTAACAGTTCATTAATTACTCCGGATACAATATGTGAACATTATGCAGCAAAAGAGTAAAATTGGACAATGTGAATTCGGGATTTTTTTTTATATGCTATTTGTATAATTTCAGTTAAGAACAACAATATTACAAATTAATAACAATAAAACATATTGTAGGCACAACTTTTTTTTTTTTTGGCTTGTTTATACTACTTATTTAAAATGAGCTGAAACGATACAATTCTTGAGATTTTATTGAGACAACTTAATTTTTATGTTCGTACCATGTAAATTTGTTAAAAGTGTTAACATATATTATTAATTTGTTATTTATTATACCAGTAATTTTATTTATTATACTGAAAATTTGTTATTGTTGTTCATGTTGTTAGTGTCACTGTTACTCTATTTCTGTCGGTCTACTGCTGCCCTCCAGTTGTTTGGAGAAAATTACTATGATGATGAATCTTAAATTAAGGACACCATGCATGAAAAAGTTAATATAGTTATCTATTTAAGGATCACATATAGTGTTTCCAAAAAGTATTAATTGTCATTTGTTGTCTTTTTTACTTATCCACAATCATCAAAATATCACCTGTAGTAAGTCCGTCTTTCTCTGGGAATGCTGCAACCTTTAGAATTAAAAAAAGGCATTTATGTGAATTTTTGTAAAAAAAATTTCTTAAATATTACTCTACTGTAAACTTACAAAAAAAGATATGTTTAATAAAATCTCACCTGTTGGAATTTAATCTAGCCTCTGAAGAGGAGCTGCAAACTTTAGAATGAGAAAATCACATTTAGGTAAGTTAATGTAAATATTTGTTCTTAATTATTTCACTACTGTACTTTTATGAATGAAAATACTGGTAAAATCTCACATTTAATAAGTCAGTCTGCTCTCTGGAAACAAACATAATATTTTCCAATAATATGTTCTACTGTATATAAATGGGAGATCTATTAAAATATAAATAAAATACCTGCAGTAGATTAGTCAGGGAAGTAGAAAAGTACTCTTTTTTTATACACATATTGAGAAATTGCTAATTCAAACCTAAAACAAACTTTACTGAGCTTTATAAATGTGGCCAAACTTAACGTGTATTAGCAAATATCTAATCTGCTCTAGAAACATTTATACTGGAAACAATACATGATTGGTTCATATATGTCATTTTACAAGTTATACCACAAATTTGGGTGAC